CCTTTCCAGGATGAATCTGTTTGTTTTCTTAGCAGTCCATGGTATATTCAATACTCTTCTCCAGCACCACAGCTCAAAGGCATCAATTCTCCTAACATCCTCCTTAGTCACTGTCCAACTCTCTAAGTCTCTGATGCATACATAACAAGTGATTTTAAAGACCATGCCCTGTATCAGACGCACCTTAGTCTCCGGAGAGACACCATTGCTCTTCAGAACTTTGGGAATGTCCCTAACATCAGACTTTCCCACTGCAATACATCTTTTAATTTCCTAGTTAGGCAATAATGGCAACGAGAAAAACATATTAACACTCAGGAAATGTTCCCCTACTCCATCTTCATCCGCTGCCCTCCTAACCCATTCAACCAGACAGCTGCCCACCATTAATGAGAAACAATGAACTGACTAATTCTGTGGGCAAAGGACAGCAATGGCACCCCACCTGCAAATGAACACTGTCCTAAGACAATGGCAAGCAACTCCCCTCAAGTAGAGAACAATAGTGCATCTCCATTTGAACTGCATGATTCTATTGCAACCTCACAATCTTCTTGTACAAATGTTAATGAAATGTTTCCCGTTTGCTTTAATAGTTTGAGTCACTCAATAAAAGCTTCCCTGCGCAAGGGTCATATCTGACTCTTTTATTCTCCCAGAGTTGTGTGGACTCTGCTGCCACATGTCCATCAAAGGGAACAATGCAGAGGTGTCTCCCAAACACCTGCTTGTGCCAGTGTTAAGTGGCAGTGTTAAGAATGGCAACATTTTCCTTTGTGAAGTGAAGGCCGTTTGCACCTAAAAGTCTTTAGGAAAAAGAAATACTGAGAGCATTTTCTGTAAAAAGTTAAAATTAAATGTGTGGTTTCTCTCTGTTGTGCTGCACTGGTTTTTGTTGAATGAATCGTGTTGATCCCATTCTCAAGGCTGCTTTTCTGTGTGCTTTTAAACCAAGGTCAAGAGAGAGGCAGCTCAGAGGCCTTGAGATTGTCATTGACAAAGAAAAGAGAAGCTTTATAGCCAGAGTACTAATTAATCATTTCTGGAGAAATAGAAATAAGAACGATATATATATATACACACACATACATACATACATATATATGTATGTACACATACTTTACATGCTAGCAGCTAATAAACATTCACTCTTATACATGAAATTATGTGTGTCTAGACATGCTTTATTGATGCAATAAAACATATCATTGATAACAGGATAAGTTTAGGGATTAAACATATAGTCTCTAATATAATACCTTCCCTAATTACTGTTATAGTCAATGCTACCCTTCAAGAAATCTGAAGCATTAGAGTTAACTGTTTTAATTAGCGTTTGAATTGCCCATGTGTTTCGCTGGATTCCAACATCTCATAAGTAGCTTAGGATATAAAATGCTGTTCCATAGCCAGTTTATTTTCACATTTTTAAAAAATAGAATAAATGTCAGAATAAACTGATATGAAGCTTTTTTCACCAAACAAGTGTTTCAATTCAGAAGTTATATATAAAAATGGATTTGTTTCAAAGTCCTGTTTTACTCATTCTGACCTTTCTTTTGTAAGACTTTTATGAACAACAGATCTGAACCGTGCTCTAACCTGCGCCATCCTCTCAATCTCTGTCACCTTCAAGCCCATTGAGGCAGTCACTGTAGCAGTCTCTCTTTTTGAGAGTCTTCCTCTCTTTATCTAACCCTCTGCCCGACATAAAGTTGCACCATCTTTGTCTCTAAGGAGCCTACTGGTTGCAATTCCTTCAGGGAAGATTTGTTTGGTAGTCCATGTAATGAACACCTGGTATATGCCAGGTGTTGCCAAAAAAAGGCTTTAGAGGTGCGCGGTTCGAATCCACCAGATGCTCTGCTGGAGAAGGAGGGACAGTCTCCTCCTGTACCAGTCAGATCTGACGGTGTACACACACACACACACACACACACACACACACACGCTTTTTTAAAAGGCCTTTACTACTAACAAATAGTATGCATAAGATAGCCTTAGGCCATAATCAGCGTTGTACAGAACTTATCTATAGAATCTCACAAAGAACACATTTTTATTGCAGTAAATATATGTTGCTGTTGTTGTTGTTATGAGTGAAAGACCTGAGCACTGTTCATAGAGTTTCCAGAGGCAAAGTTTCATTTTGGAAGTGGATGCCACTCCTGCTTCCAAGCTTGTTTTAATTGGGGAGCTCCACCAAATACTGTCCACCATGGGTGACCATTATTACATTTGGCACATCTGTGTCACAGTGTTCAGCATCACAGCAACCACGAGTTACCTCTGTACAGCAATGCACAGACCAGTGCTAAACCACTTAGAAGAATATTTGACAAAAAATAATTAAAACCAGGACTGAGGAAGCAGATTAACATCACCCACCTTGGGCTTGGTAGCGTAACTAGGCCAAAGTCAACAATAGTAAATATATATATAACTAATTGTATCAACGTTCTTCAGATGTACAATTCAGCAGCATTGTTTATGTTTATCATGTTGTCAATGAACTGTTGATAAAATACCTTAGAAAGCTTGGTTAATTTGTCACTTTAAATGTGTTCACTGTAGACATCGTCTGCCGGAAGCACAGGCTCCTCTGCACAGTCACCACTGCAGGTCTACATCCCACCATGGCTGATGACATCGCTGCCGTTGTGATCGACAATGGCTCTGGTGTGTGCAAGGCCGGCTTCGCTGGTCACAACATCCCCCAGATTGTCTTCCCCTCTATTGTGGGGCGTCCTCGGTACCAGGGCATTATAATGGGCGTGGGCCAGAAGGATTCCTATGTGGGTGATGAAGCTCAGAGCAAGAGAGGCATCCTGACCCTCAAGTACCCCATCGAGCACGGCATTGTCACCAACTGGGATGACTTGACGAAGATCTGGCACCACACCTTCTACAACGAGCTGCGTGTGGCCCCTGAAGACCAACCTGTGCTGCTGACGGATGCCCCCCTGAACCCCAAGGCTAACCGCGAGAAGATGACCCAGATCATGTTCGAAACCTTCAACACCCCTGCCATGTACGTGGCCATCCAGGCCATGCTGTCCCTGTTTGCCTCTGGCCGCACCACCGGCATTGTGACGGATTCCGGCGATGGAGTCACCCACACTGTGCCCATCTACGAGGGGTATGCCCTCCCCCACTCCATCATGCGTCTGGACCTGGCTGGCCGGGACCTGACTGAATATCTCATGAAGGTCCTCACCGAGCGAGGCTACTTCTTCACCACCACAGCTGAGCGGGAAATCGTGCGTGACATCAAGGAGAAGCTCTGTTACGTTGCCCTGAACTTCAAGCAGGAGATGGCCACGGCGGCTTCCTCTTCCTCCTTGGAGAAGAGCTACGAGCTGCCCGATGGGCAGGTCATCACCATCGGCCCTGAGCGTTTCCGCTGCCCCGAGGCTCTCTTCCAGCCCTCCTTCCTCGGCATGGAGTCTTGTGGCATCCATGAAACTACTTTCAGTGCAATCATGATGTGTGATGTTGATGTCCGCAAGGAACTCTACTCCAACATAGTGCTGTCTGGCGGGAGCACCCTGTACCCAGGCATTGCTGACCGGATGCGGAGGGAGATCACAGAGCTGGCCCCCAACATGATGACCATCAAGATCATCACTCCTTCTGAGCGCAAATACTCCGTGTGGATCGGAGGCTCCATCCTGGCCTCCCTGTCCACCTTCCAAAAGATGTGGATCACCAAGCAGGAGTACGACGAGTCTGGCCCTGCCATCGTGCACCGCAAATGCTTCTAGGTGGATGTTGCATTACACCCTTTCTTGATTAAAAAAAAACACAAACAACAACAAAAAACCCACCCCACCTGCGCAGAAATAAAATAGCAAAAGCAAATAAATGAGATGAGATTTGCATGGCATTATTTCGTTTTTTGTTTCTTTATTTCATCTGTGTGTGTGTGTGTGCGTGCGCGCCTGCGGGCATGCTTGATTTAGGATTTAAAAACTGGAATGGTGAGAGTGACAGCAGTTGGTGTGAAACGAGAATTCCCCTCCATCTCCAGTTCTCCCGTGTGGCCCTAGGTCTTTCTTTTTTAAAATAGTCATTTCAGATAATCGTGACATGGCAACACGATAGGAAGCTCCTGCCTTTCCAAAAGCCTTTCCCTTTCCCCTTAAAAAGAAGGGCCTCGTCCCCTCCACCCCAAGTTCATGTATGGACAGGGAGTGATAGGTAGCATTGCTTTTGTATCAATTATGTAATCCAATTTAAAAACAAATCCACCTTAATACATGCTCTTTTAGTTTAGTTTTTTATTTTCTATAGTCAGTCATTGGAGATCCTACTTTTGTGGGGTCCCCGCCCTCCCCCAACTCTAGAAATATGAAGGCTTTTGCCCCCCACGTTGGGATGGCTGAGATGTGGAAGCAACCAGGGCTTTTACCTATACACTGACTTGATACCAGTTGAATAAAAGTGCACACTTTAAAAGAAATTGTGTGTGTGTGTGTGTGTGTGTGTGTATTCATTATAAATTGAAATACAGAGATAGATTTTGGTGGCCTAGTGGCAAGAAGACACGCTGCAGTCCCGAAGACACACAGTTCGAGGCCACTAGCTGCTCCATGGGAGAAAGATGGGCAATCTCTCAAGCAATTAATTGCCTCTGAAAACCGGCTGGAGGGTCCACTGCGGTTCAGTTCCGACTCTATGGTGCACAACAACTGTAACAATACTCCTATAGTGGGAGAAGGATGAGCAATCTCCTCCTGTACAGTTAATTACTGCCTCTGAAAATTGGCTAAAGGGCCAGCTGTGGGTTGGTTCTGACTGAATGGCACACACCACCACCACCACCACTCTTACAAGAAAGCAGACTCTTCTAGTTTATAAAACAATAATGTGAATAGAATAATAGTTCATTCTTCCAGAAAGCAAAGAAATAAAATATTATATTTTTGGTATTATTGATTTTGGTTAAGAACCTGGGAACTGTGTGAAAAACTGCCTCTTTACCTGGGTTGCACATTAGAATCACCTGGAAAGCACTTAAAATACACCCTTGCACTACCTAGCTTCTTCTATACCAACCAGGTTTGAATCTCCTAGATAAGATACAGATATGAGTATAATTTTTGGTAAGTTTCTTTTTTCCTGCGTATTTTAGTACTCGACTCGAAGCATTCAACAACAATGAATATGATGTGCAGCTAGGATTGAGAGAGCCATTGATTCAAGTAGTGCTTAAATTAAAAACAAAACTTAGTAACATTCTTTCTCAAACATCACACCATTTTTTAAAATGTTAAACATTTTGGGCCGGCTCTGGTGGCCTAGTGGCAAGAAACTGCACTGCAATCTCAGAGGTATACTGTTCAAATCCACCAGATGCTCTGCTGGAAAAGGAGGAACAATCTCCTCCTGTATCAGTCAGACCTGATTTGATGGTACACACACAAAAAATAATGAAATAAAATAAAGGAAAAAAACCTTATTAAAAAAATGTTAAACATTTTGGAGTAAAGCTGTTAAAATGTCCTTCGTTCCATAGTGAACAATGTAAATGCTCCCTTATGATTCAGAGTCGTAAACCTTCAAAGGTAGTAATATACACTATATAGGAATTGTCATTGGGCATTTTAGCACAATGTGGGCCCCCCTGCCATTGTGCCTAAGGCAGTGATTGAATACTGGGTTTATCTTTGTTTTTGTTATTTCTAGCAAGTTTTAAGAAATATGACAACCAAGGGTCACTTCTTATTGCTCTCAGTCAATGTTTATAGATCTATTCTTCATTGCTCTTCATACTCTAATGCAGAGTTTTAATCAATTATAGACTGAGAAAGTCTATAAATCATACTATCATAACAAAGACAAGTAAAAATGAACATTTTCTCAGGAGAAAGAATATCTTCTAACAAGTTAAAGGCACATGATAGTGGATATTGAGTAAAATTAAGTTTCTCAACTAGATGTTAAGCGTCCTACATAAGGCAGACATAGGGTTTTCAAAGGCCTGTCATTTCGGAAGTGGATGGCCCTTCCTTCTTCCTAGTCTGTCTCAATTTTTAAAT